AAACTGGAGCTGAGTTTAAAGACAACATTTCATGCTCATTTTCAGGTCCATACTTGTATTTTGGGTTCCCACAAGAACGTGTTTACGTGCTTTAATTAAAGTCGTAAATGCCTCCGATACATCCTAAAATTAGGAATCGTGTATCGACGACTACGCAAGTCTATGCATCGATCAGATAACACGTATCATTATTATTTAGGCTACACAGGAACAACAACAACACCACCGATCCGTACATCCTGCCTACTGAGCATGTGCAAACTAGTACAACACACCTGTGGTTAAACATTGTCGTGCAGCCTATTTCCTCCCTGATAATGCTACTTTGTGAACAACAAATGTGTGTTGAGATCTGCAGGAGGAGAGCTAGGTAACGTTAGCTGTTAGCAGCCGGTGGGCAGCACAGTCCTGCTAGCTAAATAACGCAGCTAACAGCTAACGTGTGCAGGTTGCATTGAGTTACATTGTGATGGGTTCAAGCTCTACTCAGTGAAAATAAGGCAAACGGTAAATAATAACGCTATCATCAGATGTCCTCGACTCACATTGTGGAGGCGTTTACTGGCAGGAAGAGAGCTAACGAGATCATTTGAGTTTTTTAAACTTTGAACAGCAGTAAGTGAACCGTCTGTGTGTCTGTTAGCGCGTTAGCAGAGCAGCTGTAGCACCAACAGTTCTGTGCACGTGCTTCAGCTACGACCGTGTTTACAGGCACATGACTTATTAAGGGCCAGTGGGCCACCCTCACACTTTGGTTTGGTTCTGCTTTCAAGGTTTTTTCTCTTTCTCTAGTTTTCACAACTAAACCAGGGAGACCGTCTTCAGTCTCTCGTTGAGAGTTTAGAGTCCGACTTCTGGGTCTAGTTTCAGCATAAAAGGGAAGCACAGGCTCAGTGATATACATGCTCTATTATGGAACAAGTGGTGTATATCCCATATTATGGCACATGTATGTATCTGGCCATCTGCACCACCAGCAGATGAGCGTTTCCACACCACATGCCACCATTCACCTCATTGTCCGTCCTCGTTAATACTCTGACGTCACAAGAGCTGCAACCAAGTCACAATAAGCAAACGTGATTTCTAAACGAACTGATCGAGTGTCTGAGAAATCAACACCCGGGTTGGAATAAACAGTCAGTAACCTGATTTACTGAAGACGACATCAGAGCTGTTTGATGACAGCAGACATACACGATGCTGCAACACAATATCCCACCTCATAATGAACGACACATTGTTTTTTGGCTTCCACTGTGCACTTGTCAAACAGCCGTCTGTCTGTGTCTCTCTCTCTCTCTCTCTCTCTCACTCTCACACACACACACACACACACACACACACACACACACACACACACACAC